AAATTTAATTTTATGACTCTTCAGTCAATCATAAAACTCGGTTAGTAATCATCCAATACGAACCGCCAAGTCTACAGTCCACGTGGACTAGTTGGCAGCGGCTTTATTTCTCTGTATTGGTTTTTTGGCCTTTGAGATCGCCGTCTGCTTTAGCTATGCACTATATCGTTTACTTCGACTATACCGTAATGTTGGATTTACCGGCCGCAAATAAGAAGGTGGAGAGTGAGTTGGGTTACTGGACAGAATGAAATAAATAAACGTAATTCACTACAAAAGCAAAATTTTGCTACAAAGAAAAAAACAATAAATCATCAACAGTATAATTGTTTGCCCAACTCTATCACCGTATCAACTCCATTTTAATCTCAATGGAATTGCAGCTATTAAGATGAAAGGAAAGTAATTACGAAATCGGAAGCAAGGTCGGCATATCATTGAAATGAGTGATCGTTAAGTTGTAAGCTTCGCCTTTAATTTGACACCGAGATTCATGCCTTGAATGTTGATAGTCATTGCCATTTGTCGGTCAGAGTCATAACGTAATGTTTATTAGTTAACAGATCGCTGCCCGATGGTCAATGGTCAATAACCAAGAGTTACGCGATTTCGTTGAATGAATTATCCAGGTGTTTACAACTAAAGCACTAACACAATATAATATGAATTATGTACGAGTAGGTATTAATAAAGTGGTTTGGAAATGTACCAATTTGTGTTTACTGCTTCGTCACTCAAGGTCAAAAGAAAGGCGAAAAATTGAGGATTCATCCTATGGAAATAAAATATTTACATGACGATATAAACGGACATATTAAGGAGAATAATTGAATAAATTGGCATCTGTAATTACGTCGACGATTCTACCTGCAGCAGCAACCTTGACCACGAAAATTATGAAATCTGAGCCGGATCGGTTCAGAGGTGTTACGGAAATTGAAAGAGAAATAACGGTTCGACTAAAGACGGATTTCCACCAAACGGCCAAAACCACAACAAAACAGCAACTGTGTCGATTTCGGCAAAATGCGTTGTCAAAACAAGTAACAGTTCGAAGACATTGTGTCGCGGCTGTACTTATACTTCAGCCGAAGTTCTTTCAAAATTCGATAGATTCAACTGTTGATAAAGTTTATATATAAGGTTAGGGGGTTATTGTTTGTGACCAGTCCGGTACTGAAGAGGAGCTAATATTTCGGGTGAATTTATTTCTGTTGCTCAGTTACGAGAAGTTACAAATAGTTTTTCAAATGGAAGACATTGCACAGATGTCTGGCAAAGTGAAACAAACATCAGGACATTGATATGATCAACTGCTGTTTTTTCAAATCCTGATTGAAACGCACCCACTTAGTCCTTCCATAATATAAATAATGTTATCTATGTAATATTAGATGAAGCTCCAAAAAGGTATCTGAAATCATAATACTATCTATACTCAGCTATAAATAGCTAATGGAAATATTGCGAAACTGGTTATTTTTACAGCAATTGTTATTTAATGAGAATTGTTTAAATATTAGGAAAAACAATGATTAAATAATGTTCAAGTCGGAACTCAATCAAATAAACATTAAGGAACTTCTTGGACTGTGCTGATATTTTGTGTGAAGTTCTTCCTATTAAAAAATATTCCTAAATGACACTTGATTGAGTAAGTACATGAAAATGGGAAATGAGAAGTAATAAAAATAATGATGAGCTCATTTGTTGTGATAACCTATGGTTTTTTTCTTGCTCTTTTGAGAAATCATGGTTTACGTTTATGCATGTGAGTGTTACATACTCTGAAATTGTCAGTTTTAAATTTTTTTTGTCTATCAGACTTTGCCATCAAGTTTGGCACTTCCAGGTTCTCATCTATGAACAAAAAATACTAATCATGATTTTGCGTAGGGAACAAAAGTATAAAAACTCTCATATCTTTACCGAAATAGGGAAATTGTTTATCGTGTGTAATGAATGTACAAAATGCAAACGAACCATTGAATATAATCATCCTTTTTACTTAATTTCAATAACAACATAATGCCATGGTTTGTTATTATTCATACGTTAACTTAGTGATGAAGTCTTTTATTTTGCTATTATCACTCACTCAATCTATATACGAAAATTCCGATTGGATGGAATTTTCTTTATGGAATTTAGCAGAATTTGACACGGAATAAATATTTAATGAACTCATAAGAATTGAGTGATTCATAATAAATGCTACGTAATTGTGTAAACGTTCAAGTGTGGACATTACTAAACAACTGGATACCTCTAAAAATGAATTCAAATTATCGTAATCTGATAATAAAAAAATAAGTTTCATTTGGCATAACTTATTTTTGGATGTATTGGAAATTATTTAACCAAAAATTCGAAATAGGCAAACCGTAGAGATGTATTTCGAGCTAGTTGACTCCAGTACGGTGTAGCCATGCGCGAACATAGGTGACATTTGGTTGACATTTGATGCAAACAAGGTAATGAATTAATATAAACAAATAATTGAAATGGTAGTAGAATCGATCCTTGAGGGACACCGCATAAAACTTCTTTGGGGGTTCAATTTCCATATTTTTGGTGTAAAGTTTTCAGTTTGCCATCCATCCGAAAAACTGTAAGAAATATTGATTCATCCACAAGAAATGTTTTTCAAAGAACACATACCTACATGAGGTTCTGTTACTAAGAACCAGAATCTAGACCCATTTGGTGCAATGCATTGTTTTGTCAATAATTTTTGAAAGCATGAAGAGAACAGGAAAAATATTTCTGAAAGTTTAGCGGCTGACGGAATTGATAGTTTTTTTGTTTGGAAATGTTATCGCAGTCTCTTGACTGAATCCTCAAATATGGTCTGACTCCTTTGGCCGACTCTGTATGTGTATGTTTCGTTCAACCAAGTGTACTGATGAGGGCCAGTTAGCTCGAAATGCGTATCTACGGATTGCCATTTCGAGAATGCACAACTAGTTTTTCTAAAATTTATTAGAATAGGCCGAAACTTGATGGAAATCCGTATCAAAACTTTCTAATATAGTTTACAAAACCCTAACATATGTTTCGCTATACTTATAATAGCTTCCTCAAGCAGAAATGACAACTTACTCCTGAATTATAGTCATTGTTTACATTACAAACTATAGATATCACCTAAGGTCCAATCAGATACTCAATTTCAGGCTAGATTGAACTACCTGATGTGGTAAAAACTACAATAAATCAATTTGTTCGATAATTAGATATCGGGGATTTTTGAGTTTATTATTTCTTCCAGAAAGTTAGTTTTCAATATGTTCTTCTGTGAGAAGGCATATACGTTGAACTCATTTCTCCAATCTGGAAACTGCTCTTTCATACATGCTTCAAACGTTCTTCCAGTTTGTCCTATGTAAAACACCAGACAAAATCCACATGGAAATTTATAAACTCCTGATCTATCTGGCATCTGTCTATGTTAGAAGAAGTTGCTCAAAAATTGATTTCCCGTTATTACATATGTTTTTGGGCCAGTACTGTTTGAATTTTTTTTTAACAGAGTACTACAGAGTACTACATAGAACTAACAACCTTCAAGTTATCATCTATTGCAAGCTATTCACATCAACATTATTATTGGGGTATTAGTCAATCATAAAATATAAACTCAAAGCCCTATTCAATGGTTTATCAAATCCATCCCTTTTAACGTCCTGCGGAGCCATTTGAAGAAAAAAAAATTAATTTGAGCGAATCTATGCTGATATAAACACGTTGCAGTGCAGTCCATTCTCAAATTTCAATTTTTAGTTTCTTATGCTGACATTCAAAATAGTGACGAAATTGCTCACTTGATATTTCTACACTGATATTTTGAGTGCAATTTTTATATGATATCTCAACTTTGTGAATCTGAAATTTGACAAACAAAAAATGGTTTTCTAAGCCATATATTTTTTAAATTAATTTCTTCTGATTTTGACAAGACATGCGAAAGATTTGTGAAACAGGACAAACTAATGACATCCTACATCCAAATATCTGTTTATGATAATGGATAAAGAGATGACTTAAGCACTAGTATTCCGTATAGAGTTGAAGGATTTTTGTATTTCAATATTTTATACAATAAAAAACAAAAATTACTTATACCGACTATAATGATATTGACATACATTAAAGCTCAGTAAACTTATGAAAGGTTTGGTTTATTTTTTGAATAAAAATATAAACTAACAAGCCATTTTGTACTTTCTCAATGCGATTTTGCTCAATTGTTGTAAGTAGATTTCCATAACGTAATCTACACCTATCATAAGATCTAATAAGAAAATTACTAATTACTAAATGAATTTCAAACCAAAATTATGAATGATGGTGTTTTGTGGATTAACTGTTGGAAAGTTGGCATTGTCTATTTTGATATAGATATTCTGTAACAGATATATTCCGACATTTTTACTGTCAAATAGTGTATTATATGACTCTTACCACAATTGTGTTTTACTTTATGCTCCTGTTACAACGAATTTTTGTTCTGACCTTACCTACTGTTGATATGATTTTCACAACTCTTTGAATTGAAACTAGAATATATTTGGTATCATCCGCAGAAGTTCCTATTATCGAATACTCCATCCACCATGGTTAATATATCACTTTTATTAAAATAAAAAGCAATGGCCTCAGTATTGAGCCTTGGGGTATGCCCGATACTAGGTTGAAACTATATAGTTAGCCTAACATTGTTTATAAAAACTTTCTGGTTGTGATTTTATAAGTATATTTTAGTTTTAACCAAAGATATGGCTGATCATATCGAAAGCCTTTGAAGAGTCCAGAGTAACAAATGTTACAAGAATTTTTTATTAGTATTTCTAGACGTAACAAGTACTCACTTAGGAATCGATTTTAATATTTGTAAGTTGATGAATTATACTTGAGAACAGAGAATGTTCACAAAGGAACACATAAAACACATTTTTTTTAAACCCAGCCACAATGCATCACACAAAAAAACGCCTTACCTTATTCAATCCGGGATGTCGGATCCGGTCCAAACCGGAAGCTCGGCCGGGTACCACATTATCTCCGTTTCCCCACAATCCAAGGCGATCTCTTTCCACGCTATCCATTTTGAGTTTATTGATGCAAACACTCGACTGCTTGTCACCTGTCTGGCACCCGCTAGAACAGAACGAATAGTTATGTTACGTTTGTGCGGTATTAGATGTACTTGAATCGAATAGGATGGACCGCATTGAGCAGGCGCGTGAGGAAGCGTGGCTGACAACAGCTGACGACGCTGGGCATCGTCGATTGACGTCACTAAGGCGAAAGTGGGGCAAACGAATGAGTTACATATCGATCGATCACCAGTGTTGCCAAGGAGGCCTAAAATACGCTGGATCTGAGTATTTTCAGAAACTTCTCGCCTTGTTGTGCTGCGCTATCTGTTTTTGGTGGATTTTCTGCCTCATTACTTTGGCTCAGAAGATTAGTTTCACTAGTTTCACTAGTAGTTTCACCACTATTAAATTTCTGCTGAAATTAACGGCCTCAACAGATTCATCAAACCACGACATCCTCTGTGTATGTGAGATATTATCGAAATTTGTTCATTTGTTGTTAGTTTGAAAGACCTATTGATGTCATTATGTGTAGAATATAACATCGTTCGAAAGTACGGCACAGCTTCTCTAGGTGAAGCACATCCAAAACGTGGGTTATGTTAGCTTTGAGGACCGCTGTGATTTGTGGCTTATTCGCATACATCACATTTCGTTGAAACCACATGTAGTTGGGGTCCAGATCATCCAACTCAGTCCAGAAAAGTTGTCCTTAGTGCTTGATGTTGACAGTGATGACCTGGCCAACATCGTTCCCAAAGAAATATGGATCGTTGACGCCGCCAGCTCAAAATCCACACCTAACTGCGACTTTTTCGTGATGTATTCGACGTTCTTGGATCTCGTGTGGGTTGGCATCGCCCCAAATTCGACAATTTTGTTCGTTCACGTACCTATTCATTCAAAGAGCTCATCATTTGGTAAGAAAATACTTTGATGACCAATAAAAGACCACCCAAAAAGACATTCATAATCCGAATAATACTTTCATATCCTAGAACTCACATCTATTTGATATTGATGCCACCAAACATAAAAATGCAATCCGCTCTTAAATCATTTACTTTTGTGATTTGAAAATAATACTGACCAAGACCTGGTTCCCATCGAAATATTTTGATCAAACTTCAGATATGTATATTTCTTCTTATGTTATTATTGGCGCCGACCAGGAAAGTTGAATCTACCCCTCTTGAAGGAGTAGATTCAACTCTGTTGCCGTCAATGAGAGAAGTAATTTCTACTTTTTCGGGGGTTAGGAGGTTACTTTGGTTCAATTTTTATTTTTGCTGAGAAAATTTTCGAATCCAAAGGCTATAGAAAATGTGAGTGAAAATCGTTTGACAGAAAATATACGCCAAAATTAGAGAAGCAACTTACACCCCAAAGAAGGGTAGTTTCAATTTTTATCATTGGTGGAAATAATAGCATGTCAAGAGAGATAATATTTTGAAGTTTGATCTTAGCATTTCGATGGGAAGGCATCAGTGAGAAAAATATTACGATAAAAACAAAATTGAACTGCCATTCGAAAGGGGTAGATTCAATTTTTCTCAATGGGGATAATGATAACAGTAAAGAGATACCGATGAGAAAGCCTGCGTCAGCAAATTTGTTTGGGAAATCACAAGAGTAAATTACCTCCATATAAGCGTAGGGTGTATGTTCACGTTTGATGACGTCAGTATCCAGTAAAATGTATGTACATTTTTCAATATTAACCTGTTATTCGGGTCATAATGTCATATTTGGGCGATACTTTTCTGGTCAGCAAATTATCCACACTCCATTATTCGGAGTTTTTGGGTTTATTAGCCATGATCTGAAGGTGTGACATTGACAGTGTCAACCATAATTTCAGACAGAACGTCACTTCCAAAAACTGCAGACATGAGTAATAAACCTAAATACAGCAAATATAATCTGCCAAACACCGGCCGTTACTGACATCTACCTGGGGAAAATCAGTTGTATTGGCTTGGCAACACTTATCGATAGCTTATAGACTGGGAGAAACTGATTGGGTTGTATAATATTTCAAAATATAATGCAAAATTTGATGCAGGGCTAAGGCTGGCCGCACACGGTTCAAAACAACTTTTTTGACAAAGTGTGTGTATTTTAATTGGTGAAAGCAGAGGTTGCCGTTCTGTTGTGGGAGTTTTTCTAATCGCTGGAGGCACCAGAGCCCATAAAACAGAACAGATTGCTCCACGCGCCTGCGTGGAGCCTTTGAATTGTCAGTTTTGGAAAATTCATCATCAAAAATAAAAAGTAAACACCAACCTAACCTCCTAACCTAACATAACCTACCTAATATAACTCCCGAAAGAAGTAAATTCAACTTCTTTCATTGGTGGTAATGATAACTAAAGAAAAGAGATTTGGAAATGAGTTTTATCAAAATATTCCGATGGGAAGGTCGTCGCAAAACGTCATCCTTTACATGGTTCCAATCTTGGGAACAGGAAAAAGTCGCAGGGGACAAATCTGGTGAATACGGTGGCCAAGGCATGATTACGGTGTTGTGAGCAGATGCATTATCGTGATGCAAAAGACGTGAATTGTTTTTCCACAATACCGGACGTTTTCTTCGTATTGCTTCTCAGAAGCGGCGCATGTCTTCAAGATAATATTCCTTATTAAACAGTGAGCAAAATCTTGACAACATGTTTTTGAGCACGAAATTTGACGAAAATTCTTTGATCCATTTGTTCGATGGCAGCGTGTACCACTTGTAAACATGTTTCGACACAAATTTTGATGCCAGGTCTTTCATCCATTTTTTTCGATAGCAGAAAATCGCCAAGCCTGAAATACTTCTAACTTTTATGCCTCTCAACAACAAACTAAACATGCTAAACAGCTGAAAATGGGAACATACGTTCGAGACGAGTGTAACAATATAAAAAAATATTGAAAATCGGTAATAGAATGGACTAGCCCGCGAAATTTCAATATTCACCTCATTTTTTGAACATTTCACGTAAATTTTTGAGAGGAATCATACTTCCAAATAATCAGTTTGGGATTGCGATCTATTTATGATAACTCCAAAGCCTGTTTAAAACCGTACCTAGCTGTCTTAATGCCTGTTTTTCACATCCGTTCTAGGGAAATAGTATAGAAAATCATCACACAGATTAGGTTAGGTTGGGTGAAGGTCTGAAGTGAGTGGGTCTATTCGACCCTCCACCGCAACCCGCGAGAGTTTATTGTGGCTCACACCTATTCACAGACGACCAAATAAACCCAGCTTCTTAACGAAGCCGATTAGTTTGTATGGTGAGTGGTTTTTCAGGTCAAATGGTAAGAGTACGGCTCTGCTGAACTCTAAGAACCTGATTCCGTCTCCAGCGGGGCAGGCAAGTATATGCTCTGATGTTTCATCATTTTACAAACAGAGGCGACACACACTGTCTTCCGACAGTCCGAGTCTCTGCATATGATGAGTCAAATGATAGTGACCTTTAAGAAGGCCTGTTAGACATCGTAGTTCATCCCTACTGTAGTCCAACAACTGTTTGGAATCAAGCTTCGAAGGGTGAATAAACGCCTTGGAGTGAGCCAATCCTGGAAGATTCTGCCACAGATTCGGCAGGTGCAAGATTCGGCATTACCTGTGAAGTTGCAAATTGTTCTTGACCATTGGTAGACATCCAAGCCACTGTTATATTTAAGTATTGAACTATTTGATTTACTCACATTATTGAAGGCAGCATTGAATATCGTTTCAAAACATTCACAGCGTTTCTAGAATTTAGTGTAACATTCCGAAATCTCATCACAAAATGACATTTCACTTATAAATGTCAGTTTTTGACAATATGTTGCTTGAAACGTCTTGTAACATACTGAACGAGTTAGGAAAAAGTGCCGATATTTATGAAATACTATTATATTTTTTATTGATACATCAACACAGTAATTCTATAGTTGTTTCATCTATTTCGAAACCATTTTTTTTTTCAAATTCCGACTTTAATCTCGAAACTTGGTAGATTTTGAGAAAAAAGACTTTTGGCTTTCCACTCCTTCGTCTTTATACAAAACATATAGGAATCTTCCGATGGAAGGAAGAAATCAACGAAATTAAGAATCAACTCATCATAAACATGTGTAAGTCATGCATAGAAGTTACTTTCAGATACAGACTGGATGAAAAAGCCCACCCGAAACAACTACTTTCATATGAACATCGAATCACAAGAAAGGAAAGTACTTTCTGAACAACTACTTTCACGTGAACATTGAATTATACGAAAATCATTTTTTCTATTCAGTTTGTACTTCTAGTATTCGTAGTACTAACTGAAATTGTGGTGTCATTAGAACCATTACTACCCGTTCAATCAATACATATACACTTCAGGGCATTGATGAACAGAAAATAGGCAGCAAGACTCACCACTAAGATTAAAAAGAACTGATGGATACAAATGAATTTTTTGTATCCTTGGTACCAGGGTATTTTGTAATCGAAATCATTAATGACTTCTCCATAAACGCTACGTATGGGTTCTGAACCAGCTGAAAAGGTTTTAAAAACCATTGGTTCCTATCCGAATCACGGTCAAAAAGAAACTATGAATATTGGGAATACTTGGTAGGTAAGGTTAGGTTAGGTCTAAAGTGAGTGGGTCTATTCGACCCTCCAATCCGTAAGGGTTTGTTGTGGCTCACACCTGTTCAGACTCGACCAAATACACCCAGTTTTTCAACGAAGCTGATTAGTTTGTATGGTAAGTGGTCTTTCAGGTCAGATGGTAAGAATACGGCTCTGCTGAACTCTGAAAACCTGATTCGGTCCCCAGCGGAGCAGGCACAAAGTATATGCTCTGCTGTTTCATCATTTTCCAAACAGAAGCGAGATAAACTGTCTTCCGACAGCTTGAGTCTCTGCATATGATGATTCAAATGACAGTGACCTGCAAGAAGGCCTGTTAGACATCGTAGTTCATCCCTACTGTAGTCCAAAAACTGTTTGGTATCAAGCTTCGAAGGGATTGGAGTGAGACAATCCTCAAAGATTGTGCCAGAAGTCCATACATCTTCTTGCCATACAGGAGTTCAATCTTTGTTTGGCAAAGCCGAAAGCGATGCCAATGACAGGTTCTGGTCCGATGAAGCTGCTTGCAGCACCCTCCTTTGCAAGGGAGTCAGTAGCATCATTGCCTTCCAGGCCAGTATGGCCAGAAATCCAGCCTAGAGACAATCTGTGAGTCTTCCTATTGAGGAGAGTCGTTTTTGGCAATTTGCTACAAATTTTGATGTTGCTCAGTAGGAGCAAAGAGCTTCCAACGCCGCTTGACTGTTCGGGAATATTTTTATTGACACACAATTCAATAGCGTAAATTTCCGCTTGAAATACAGTCGCATCAGTTCCTAGGCAGGTAGATATCTCTGTCCTGCGTCTGCGTTTGAAAACACCTGCACCGGAACCGGAAGGTGTTTTTGATCCATCTGTGAAACAACAACTATCTGCTCTTGATATTTCCTTCTCCCGGAGGATCCAGTCCTCTCTATTCGGGAATAGTACTTTATAAGGCAGTTCGTAGTTGACAGTTGATGGCATAAAGTCAGAGGTCATTTCCAGAATACTGTGTCAACCAACAGTCTGCGGCATTCTGCATTATATTGACTTGTGCAATTGGCAATGTGCACAAGTCTGTATGCAGTCCATCTAGCCTCTCTCCCCAGAAGAATGTGGAGAGGAAGTAGATCTAGAAGGATCTCCATGACCGCTGACAGTGTGGTACTAATGGCACCACTGATAGGCAGACAAGCCTGTCTCTGTAAGTCAGAGAGCTTCGCTTGGGCCGTTTTCTGTAAAGCCTTCAACCATCAGGCAATTCTACCATAAGTGATCATTGGTCTGACAATCATCACATACATCCAATGGATTTGTTTGGGACCCAAACCCCAAGTTTTGCCACAACAGACTGTCTGGCCTTTTGTAAAACTTTTTCCAAGTGAGCGTTGCAGGTGAGTCCTTCATTAAAGACAATGCCAAGATATTCAACCTCCGTTCCAAATGGAATGACTTCATCATTGAGGAAAAGTGGCGTTAGATCGTCCAATTTTCTCGTCCTGGTGAAGGGGATAAACACAGTTTTGCTGGGGTTGACAGACATCTGCTAACTCAGGCACCAACTGTGAACATCGTCCAACGTACTTTGGAGGATATTACAAGCTACTCTTTCCGACGTGGACCTTGTCTGGATGACAAGGTCATCTGCATAAGCTTGCAGATTAACTTTTATTTTGTCAGGAGCGACTACAGAAGGGGAGGTATGGATACTTGGTAACAGACGCCCTTAGAAATGAATCCGAGAACTGCTTCAAATACGATTCACTCACTAAATACTCGTAACATCAATTCAGAGGATACTTCAACAAAACAGGGATGGAGATGTTAAATGTGAAGAATAGAATGAAGAAATAGAAACAACCACTGTATTACAAGAATGTGAGGCGTCGGATCATACTAGGGAAACAATGAAAATGAAAATAAAAGAAAGAAGAAAAAACAATACATTTGACAAAAATAAGAAGAGGCATCTTTTATAATCTTTGTAGAAAACAAGATGTTGAAAAAGGTATCATGTTTGTGAAAAATGGAGAAGTGGGAGAGCTCCCTAGCTGCGAAAGAATTACTATAAAAAATGTTAATCATGATTGATATTATGCATAACAAATTCTCGTGATTTTTCAGTCTAAACAATTATATAACAAAACACGCAGATAACTTATGTTTGGATGCGTGCAATATTCACTTTGATAATGCACTTGCATTGACCGCTGCAATGCCCTCAAACTAAGAACCACTCACCTTTTTGGGGTCGATTTTCCAACCACGTTCGAAAAATAATCATACAAAGTCGACCCCATCGTTCTTCTGAAATTTTCGTTTCCTACACTGAACACTTTATAACAAAATTTGGAATCAAATTTAGATAGCATCTCTATTTATACCAAAAGCGCGGATCCTGCCTTTCGAACTGTCGATAGCCAATGGATATTTGTAAATAAAAAAGCTTATCGGTAAATAGCATGATTTGATAATTTGGCGAAAATGCATTTAATAGGCATGCACTGACTGAACGGTTCAATAAAGTGCACTTTTTTTGAAACCAAAAAAGTGAGATATAAATAGATTACCGCGATTTTTTTGATACACGATCACAACCTTGATTCCCAATTCGATATACAGTGAAGGTAGAGAATGACCGATGTAGGTCAAGAATACTGAGATAGAATTTGATTCTAAACTCTTCATATAAAGTTTTTTCCATTCACTCAGGTGAACGACATATTGAAACGAACAATGGTGTCAGCGGATGTTCCTGTAATTCTGGAACCCTTAGGTACCTACTGTTACATGAATATAGAGCAGATGAGTTCTTAGGAAATGTAGAAATCTGATTCTGCCAATTAGTACCAATACTTCGGATTCGGCTGACGAAGGTGATTCGGAGTCGATCAAACTTATTATATTACAAACTCTGAAGTCGGAAGCTTTTCTCAGCTGGCTGAGTTGGTACTCTCCAGAAGAAACCCCACGAGAGAATTAGGAATAAATTTTCACGTGATTGGAAAATAGGCCATTTCTCCTTTTTTTAAAGCAAATTAAATTATGAAAAAACTATGGGGTAAAAAACTTACCCCAGTAAAGGAAGGTTTCTATTCCAAATAGGTATAAAACCTACTATGCAGTGATCTACAAAGTGATGAAAAAGCAATAACCATACAGCATGGCAAATCCAATTAGGAAATAATGCATAAACGCAATTTGCTGAGGCAGAGAGAGGCAAAGCCGCTTATCATATCACATCACCTTGGTAACTATCCACAATATTCAAAAATATTTTCAGAGGACAGAAATGGAGTTGGGATTCGGAAGAGTGAAGTCGTGTGTCATCTAATAGAGACAGGTAGAACTTGGAATGTTCTAGGTATAGACAACATTATAAATGATAAATATTAGGATCGAATTCATTCTTGGCTGGTGGCACCTATCAGTAAAGAGCATCACTAGGACAGTACGAAACGAATTGATGGTGGGTATGTCTCTCATACTATGGAGATACGGTAAACCTGTGGTATGGGACTGCACTTGCGTTGATACGGTCGCGGATTCACATCTAGCCGAAAGTTCGAAGTCTGTTGGAACTGCAGTACTGTTTGGCGAAAAAATAAAACGAAAAAATAGCAAGATCTTGGTAACAACCATCTGTTTCATCCAGTAGCGGTTGAAACTTTTAGTGTTTATAACCCTCAGTCTCTGTTATTCGTTCATGAACTCGGAAGGAGAATAGGCTAAGCAACGAAAGATTACCATTCTACCTCTTTTTTGATAGAAAGAATTAGTATTGCTATTCAACGTGGTAACGCTGCTTCGGTCCTTGGAACTAATCATCCTTCACATAACTTTGATAAGATCATACATTGCCCTCATTTCATTACAGAAGTAAAATATCTTCAAAACAACCCTAGATGAATGTATATAATCAGTCTCCTATCAAGGTTAACTCGATCCACCTTCTTCTTTTCCAGTGCAGACTATGGACTCAGGTCATTCTTTTCCTCCAAATATTAGCTGCAGTCCTCATGATTCTGGTTATGTGTCAGTGGAAGAGCATCATGAAGCAACAGTCGAATCGATCCTTCTACGAAACCCTTCACTACTTGAAAGGATCGATTGCAGCTTGAGAAATGGTTCTGATACAGATTCTGTTAAACATGTTCTTCTTTACGAATTAGTAGACAGATGTTCTGAAAATCTTGCGAAGAAAATTGGATTTGAAAATTTAGGAAACACTTGCTACATGAATAGCATTTTACAAGTGTTGTACATGAAGAATTTCGAAAACGACGTTTTAATGATGAACGAGAACGAGAATGTTTCCTACTTATTCACCAAACTCAAACAATTGTTCATGCAGTTGCAGTTTCGTAAGAATTTATCAGCTCTCCCACCAAGCGATTTCCTGGAGTATTTGAAGTCCACTAGATACTCGTTAGGACAACAAGAGGATTGCTCCGAATTCTTGGGGTTCTTGTTGAATACTTTTCGTGAGCAGAAAATAGCAGAATCAATACTCCTGACCGCTCTGGCCGTACAGTCTATTTCGTCTTGTGTTTGTAGATCTTTTGCTGGAAAAATCCTCACTTGTTTACTTTTTAGTAAATGTTCAAGAGGTTGCAAAAACGAATTGCGATTTTCTGGAACTCTAAAGAGAGGACATTGGTAAATCAAGATCTTCAGATGACGTGGTGCTGCAGCACCTACAGCTGAAAAAGCAAATGCCCCACTGGAATCTATGAAGTCGCCCCGGAGCGCCAATTAATTATTATTGTTTCATAATTTCATGATTTGTATTACTTTCTTCTTTAATATAAAAACCATTGCTCCTTCTTTCAATTTTTTTTAAATAGATTTCTAGGAATAGCTCAAAGTGAATTTCTTTTACTCGCGCATTCACAAATGAAAGTTTGTCTCGTCTATTTCGTTCGAATTCATCTACGGGGTGATTCACAAAAAGAATGTGTTTAAACTGACATTGAAATTTTGAACAAAAAACTATTTTATTTTATTAAAACAACGATAAAAATAAAATAAAAGCAACAATAAAAATTAATTGGCGCTCCGAGGCGACTTCATTGATTCCAGTGGCGCATTTGCATTTTCAGCTGCAGGAAAACCCGGAAAAACCTGCAGCACCACATCATCTGAAGATCTTGATCTAACAATGTCCTCTCTCTTATAAAACAAAATGTAGGGTGTCTCCAGAGGCTCCAATAAATTCAATACATCACCAGAACACTTCGTGACATGACTATCGTCAAACTTAAACCAGTCCGTTTCTTCTTTGACCAATGCGTAATATTTTATTTGAATATTCACGAAAAAAGTCAGTCCTGATAAAAAACTCTGCTTCTTTCAAAACGCGAACTTTCTTGCAACCAAAAAAGTAAGATATAAATAGATTATTGCGATTTTTTTGATACACGATTACAACCTTGATTCCCAATTCGATATACAGAGAAGGTAGAGAATGACCGATGTAGGTCAAGAATAGAGATAAAATTTGATTCTCAACTCTTCATATCAAGTTTTTTCCATTCACTCATGATAGATGTCATGAGTAGGAAGTGCTTTAATAAACTTTTTATCGCCTCCGGAAGAGCCATTGCTCGTTTTTTCAATTTTTTTTATAAATAGATTTCTAGAAATAGCTCAAAGTGAATTTCTTTCTCTCGCGCATTCACAAATGAAAGTTGGCCTCATCTATTTCGTTCGAATTCATCTATGGGGTGATTCAGAAAATTATCGTGTGTAAACTGACATTGAAGTTTCGAACAAAAATCTATTTTGTTCACGAAAAAAGTCAGTCCTGATAAAAAGATCTGCTTCTTCCAAAACAACTATATTTACATTGAACCAGTTGAAAATAAGTTTTATACAAGCAACTATAGAACTGATGTGAACTACTGTGAAAATGAAATATTTGCCAAATTTTCAAAATAAATAGTTTCAACGTATTCAAGAAACACTTCATTATGAAATTTTCACAAAACTTTTGGTTTTGTTCGTCTAGTCACTTGCAGTATGTTGGGAAAAAGTTCAGACCACACAGTTTGCCTAACACCAAAAAAATCATCAGCAAGTAATTGGGCCATCTCAAGAATAAATTTGAAAAGTTTATCTATGAAGACACTGTATAAATGCTAACAGAGCTCTCTTTCAAAATTTTTAGCACCGGATTTTTCGTATATCGCAGTGTCTAGATTTAACAGGTACGTTCTTCAAATAATGGAATGAAATATACCCCTTGAAATTTATGCACCTCTCAAGAAAGTCCACCTACCAGTAAGTCTGTCCCTTCTGTTTATTTGCCATATCCCCACAACACAGTTTAGCCACACTAGCCGTACTACCCATGGTAGCCCGTTGACAATTGATACCGTCACTAACAACGTTGCAGAATCGACTGCGCTATGTACCATACACTCGCTAAACATTCATTTTAGTTTTCAAGGTATATCATTTGATTGCTTGCAGATTGCAATTAATTATTTCAATTTAGATGGAATTCAACGGAGCACTCAACAGACCGAGGATTTACCTCAGAAATGTGAAGAAAAGCAGTTGATGTCTGTAATTCGACTAATTAGATGGTTTCACTTTTATTAATAATTCATTCTATTGATATCGATCTCTGTCGGCGAGTGATCCATTTACCAAAAGAATGGTGGGGTTGTAGAAAGACTTTAAAAATAGATTGAAGTAATTGAAATAAAGTTGATTCGTTCGTCTTTTTGAACTAGTAAGATAATCTGGATCATTTATTGTTCTCATGAAAATTCATACAATAATAGTCCAAATTCTATTGACCTGCAAACAGGATGATCGAAACAACTATTTACTTTCACATAATCATGACCTTTATCTTCCATGCTTAGGAGTCGTCTTAATTGTCCATTATACCAAGTCTTCTAAATACGTTGCAAACTCCTGGGCTTATTATTCCTCCCATATTACCATAATACTAATTTCAGTAGTTTTGTTTGCTGTACTGATAAATACGTAACCTTTGATGGAGGTTTGTCACAGCCTTCTGGGCCTAATTTGGATTAATCTAAAAGTCTAGCCTCCTGTGATCCAGAGCCCAACATTTCCATATAACATATACCTTTACCACTACCGTTCTCACCATAATGATCATGTATACCGATCTTCTTCTGGGCACGCAGTCCAGCAACTGGCAGCATGTTTGACCGATCTTTCTTCTCCTCTATGTCTACATAACTGGTTCTAAAGACACATTAGAGTATGTCTTCAATTCTGAATATGCTTCCTGAGTATCCAAGTTCTAATAAGCGAATTCTGCTTTTTCTGTAACACGCCATATATGTCTGTTTGTCGATAATATTCCTGCCAATTGTTCATTGTTAATTACTGGATGAATACCACCTGGTTCAGGTGATATTCAGGTATACCTCTCCCACCAATCCCCTAGCAGAGGATTGGCAGGAGATTACCGACTCGAGGAAGTTCTATCATTACTTTCAAAGAACTATTAACCTTGGGCAAAGTACATCATTTGCACAAGACATTAGCGAATATTTTCATAACATTCTAAGCTATCAAACTGTACTAGTGCCAGTTAGAAGCAGTACAATGTGGTTCCAAAGAGTCATCAACAATAAATTACTTGGTTGATTTGTGAAAATCATTTCAATACAGATCAATTTGCAATAATTCAATAACAAGCAAAACCTAATATTTCCTCAGTAGCCGTAGATAATATATCTTAATTGATTTATAATTTTCCTACTTTTCTTTCTGATTATAATAAAAAAAGCACTCATCATTCATCAGTTAATGAGCTCCCCCAAAATCTAACCTGAAAAATTCAATTACTGGTGATGGCGTGATTTCCTCTGTGTAAATGGGCATCATTTATGAAGAGTGGTGTCCACCCATGCCGGGCTTTACGGACGGGGTCGCCGGACTCCTGGTCAGTGGCAGAAATAAGTAGGGTCAGGAAAACTAAAACACCCCAAAAGACTTTGCAAAATATGCCACGATGGACCAGCCTGCCCAAAAGATCTCGATCGATCCCCTTTGGGCGAAACCTCATTGTAATCAGCCTACCTCTGGTAATGCGGGGCTCTGCCAGAAGTGCCAACTCTTCCCTTGCTACTCGTGGGAACACACATGAATGAAACAACAGAAACAACGAAAACAAAAACAAATCCCGAAGTTGGCAGAAGTGCTCACCTCAATCTAAGGCGGTGGCTTGGGGATGAACAGAAATGTCCTTCCCAATCTACCGCTTGGAATGAGGCTGGACATAGCAAAGCACCTCCAACAGCAAGGGCACTTCCTGAGGCGGGCGCCCAAAGCTCCGCCTTTAATGAAAGTAAGGAACCGGTTGTCACTGCAGGAAAGCTCCCCCACTTTTGCACCACCAGGGAGGGAACCCCAAGAAGGTTGAGGAAGCCGCGCAACGACAGTAATATCGCTGCACCTTCCAAAACCTTCACGGAGGCCACCGTGAGACACCTCAAGGTTGCCAAAGAGAGTGTGTGTCCGGCGAGTCTTGGCCTACACCTGCCAATATTGAGGAGATGTCTCCTAGTGGAAATGACAGGATGGACGATGACCTAGGACTAGGAGGACAATTCCTAGGGAGGATGTACAATGGGTCACCTGTGGCCTAAGTGCTATGAGTCTACACCCACCCTCCCTACTCTACAGATACCAGAACAAATACTATTAAAATAATGACTGCCTATACTTTTTACAAAAATTGGGGGTAATTATGTCTTCTGTAGTATTTGTAGTAAATTGATGTTTTTCTCAGATAAAAATGGTTCGAAGATATTAAAATTATACCTTACAAACCTTATACCTTTGAGTGAGGTATTTTTCAACTGCAAGGATTTAAGAAACTTTACAAATTGTACTGCAAGTGAGCAAAATTTAAGTTTCGAGCTTGTCTTAACTAGAGTAAAGACACGCCCGAAGAAGCTATTGTATGCCGAAACACATGTTGCGTTTTTGTAAAAATCTCACAATCTCAGTCACAATCTCAAAATCTTACAATGAAGTGTTATTTGAATATGTTATGGATTTTCATCAATTATCGGTCAACTCCATCATACATTCTTAATTTCGATGTAGTATCGCACACTAGATGCGCGTTAAAAGACGATGAAAGTGCTCAGTTGCAATAATAATCTCGTATTGAACATATCGGCAGTACGGTGTGCCCGATTACACTTTGATAATAACAAATTTCGATATTTCAACGTTATTTGAGTAATACATCTATAAAATGAAAATAATCCAACTTCAGAACACTTGATTTGTCTGATTGCATTATGTGTGTGATATATTCTTGAAGAACGCTAGTTTCCAACCTCTTTCTCTCTTATGCGCAAAGAAAACACACAGGTTGTGAAACTTCTCAAGTCTTCTTCTACATTTGACAAGTTGTATAGCTGTTTTTGTTTGAAAACAACAAATGTGAAGGGTTTTCTTGGTATCAGAATGAAAAGTTCTTACAAGTTAACCAGAGCCTAAAGACAAAGCACAAATACCAGACAGATCTTTTTGGACTAGGCTGGACTCAACTATCCTTGGGGAATCTTATTTATCTTTGATGTATCCCACAGAATGCGTTTTCGTTAGAAGAGATGTCGTTGCCTTTACCAATTCAATGTTAACTAATTCTGTTTGTCTGTAGAAGTCTATGGTGTGTAAAGGATGGTAGCTAGAAGGGTAAATATTTATTTCGTCTTGTAAGAAAATAAAAAAATTCTCAGTTATATAACTAGTAGCAGTGCTATGGAGAGAGGAATATCGGGATATGAAATAAAATGTCGAATTTGTTGCAAAATATTTATAAAATACTTGTGAAAGTTACACAGTGTCAAGAGTAACAGTATCAGAAAGATAGAAATCGGTTAAAATAAATCTGTGAGTAACTAGAAGTACACATATGGAATCAATTGAATGTTGGAAAGACACTCTTATCTTCACAATCAGGCATTTGCAAAATGAAACATTAAATGCAATTCTGGAAAGGCAGTTAGTATCTTCAATATTCATCCCCCTCGTCAGCTTCAGCTTCGATGGAGTCCACAGCAACCTCTTCATAATCCTTTTCCAGAGCGGCTAAATCTTCTCGAGCTTCGGAAAATTCCCCTTCTTCCATCCCCTCTCCCACGTACCAGTGCACGAAGGCTCTTTTGGCGTACATCAGGTCGAATTTGTGGTCCAATCGAGCCCAAGCCTCAGCGATTGCGGTTGTATTGGAAAGCATGCAAACTGCTCTCTGGACTTTGGCAAGATCACCTCCAGGAACCACGGTGGGCGGTTGGTAGTTGATGCCGACTTTGAACCCTGTGGGACACCAGTCCACGAATTGAATTGAGCGCTTGGTCTTGATGCTGGCGATTGCTGCGTTTACGTCTTTCGGAACGACGTCCCCTCTGAAAATAAGAATTGACAGTTTTATGATATCGGGAAAGAATCGAGCATTATAATCAGTTTTTGCAACACTTTTGTGTTATAACGGCTTAACTTCAGTTTTCCATCAAGACCATTATTTTTGAGTTTCAGGGAGTGAAAATGACACGTGAAAATTACAAAAATCGGGAATGGGTTCACAATATTGTATTTTTGAATGATTTCTATTACAAACTGAGAGAAATGAATAATACTGATACTGATACTGATAATAATGGTCGTGAGGGATATAAATTAAAGACAGGAAGTAATAACCTTTAAAGTCCAAACTACAAAAGTTCTGTAAAGTTTAATTATTGAAATTCTATTTTACCAAATACGTGTGATTGATGACTTGTTTATTTTGTGGAAATTAATGATTATTTGAATGAAATGAATAAAAAGACTTTTGTCTAATTTACACTAGTTCCACTAGTGAGCTAATTAATAGAGACGTAGAGAAAACTATGGAGAAATAGCTCATTGTTAGGGATACCACGACAATGTGATCTAATCTATCTGTATGTTTGTAAGATCAAATGCCTCTGCAGATTGTCGAAGTTTTTAAATTTCAACTGCTTTACGATTTTATTCTAGAGAAATCCCTTGAACTATTAATCATTTTTTGTACAAAATTAATCTCTCACTGTTCACACCTATCAAGAATCAGAATTCATGAAATTGAGTTGCTTTTTGATGAGTATATTTTTGATAAAATGATCAGTCTTCATGAGTTGAATGTTTCATCAAGCCATAACATGAGTAAGTACTTGAGTGTCACCAAAACATACGTACAAGTCACAAAAATGCACAATGAAAAAATTCAAACAATCACGAAAGAATCATGAAAGAAAAACATAAGTACAAAAATATAAAGAATTTGTAGCAATAAAAGATTTTATTGACGTTCACAGAAGCTTATTAAATTCGTCAGATTATAAAAACCATTTTCCATAAGGCAGGATTTTAGCTGGGGTTTGAATACTTTGGTCTAGAGACGCTAGATATTATATAGGTTGTTTCAAAAAGTGTTTGTTTTCATGGGTCTACATTAAACTGTAATATCTCAGTGAATATTCATTCAGTTCATTTGAAATGAGCGCCGTTTTGTACATAAGATGAGCATTGGAAATCATTTCAGTTTCTTTTCGCTTTTTTTCTTTGTCATGATAATACTGTATTATTAACACCTTTGCCAATTATAAATAGTGAAGTTTACTCAATAAACGACTATAAAATATTCAAATCGAATATGTGAAAGTAATCATACAGAACGGCAAAGAACATAATATAAGTAGAATGGAAGTCCTTGGCAATACGGTTATTTGTTGAAACGTTTTTCAGTCACTAATATGCATTTGGATATTAATACAAAATGCATAATTGTTGGGGAAAATCTTTGAAAAAAACTGAATCTAGATAATAATATTGAAACAGTAGTCAATAAGAGTCAATTTCAGGAAAAGTCAATATTGTTTCTTGAGCCTTCAAGTGAAAAGAAGGAGTTACTCCTATACATATAGACAAAATTGAATTCAAAAATAATAATGAAGTTCATTTAATTTTTCGTTTTGAAATTTCTTATTCTCAGGAATTTAGTTTTTCGAAATATTAAACCTTCATTTCAAAACAATATTTCAAAAGTGAGAGGCGCTCAAAAATATAGACCTTGTATTAACTGTCGGTAAGAATTGAATTTTTTTCGTGTTCAGGTATGGTAAGGACATGGTAAATCCAAGTTTCTCAACTTGAAAGCCTGAGGATCACTTTTGACTTCTGCAAAACCTCGACTTCATAATTTGACCAGAAAATAAGCGACTGTAAAAAATTGTGATTTTCAAACTTCTGTAGATCGTAAACACACTAGCCAGGCTTGTAATTTTTTCAGACAGAAGGAAAGTACCTATTACGTGAAGACACTCAGTTTAGTTAGAACTCAATCTAATAATATTCTTAATCTAATAAGATTAAGAACTTGCACTTCCAGAAACCTGATAGGGGTGGCAAGAAGAATGTCATGTATTCATTTTCATCTTACCAGTTCGATGAGGAGTTTCTACTGTTTGTTCACGTCTTTAACAGCTGTCATATGACTCCTTTCCCCTTTAGTATGGGTGAAACAAAGTTCTCCACTCTTTTGGAGAAGACCACTGACCTTGAAAAACATGTTGATGTATTTTTTAATCTGATGCGACCAAACACAAAATCAGCTGGGAAGTGCAACGGGATTTCGTGGCACTAGTCCTGATTTGAGTTATTGAATCAAAAACAAAGGCTAAGCTAACTTCACTCTTCCAAACTTGTCATCAACACTGTCCTTACTATATCTATACTATCAAATCCTAGGATGGTTTGGTAACTTCTTGGATCCCGTCGAATAAACTTGAAAACGAAGTATCAGTGGCTTCATTCCCTACTGCAGTTCTAAAAAGGTTGCAATGGAGCAACGCTTGCAGGAGTATGAGGTGTAGCAATAAATAATTAGAGTATAGTCCACTGCAACAACACCGTACCTCTATTTTTGCTTCAGATCATCTACTGCGGTCGTAAATAAGGCAGAAATTGAGCCTGCACATGCAGGAGATATACATAAGAGTCTGCATCACTCTTGCAGAAATTGAGCCTGCTCATGCAGAGTCAGGCTGGAGATGCAGCAGTATTTGCAAAAACTGCAGTAGAGTCCACTGCAAACACACCACATCAGACTAAAGATGCAGCAATATTTGCAAAAACTTCGCATGGACGACATTGGTGAAGAAAATGTTGATGCCGACCTGGAAGAGGTTGATGCAAGTGACATGGAATCTACCGTAGGCGATAAACTGGACCTCTTGACTAGCTTTATCTAATATTCGTGTGTATAGCGGATTTTAACATTCATGTCATTCACTTTGAGACGCATATCTGAGAGCATACCTAATTCAGTAGAAATATGGATCAGACTGTTTTTCAGTTCTCATCATAATGATGCTTTTTTGTATCCAAGACCTGTAACATCATCAGATTTGGATATTGTCATATTTCTAGAAATTTTATTGGACAAATTTGCTTGCTGAACTCACTATTCAATTCTCTACAACTTTTATTCAACGGATTTTTTATTGGGATAAGAACTTTACGATCTTCAGGCGTTTGGCCTGAAGGCGACCTCAAAAATAGGCCAAGAAGTTATAGTCATAATCAGGTTGAAATACAATATTAAATATATGTAGCGAATCGACTTTTTTACAATTTCCGGTTGTATTACTAAAGTAACTCTAACTATAATAATACAGAGACTAGATTTGATCCATTGAATTAAGCCCATTTCTGAAAAAGATATAATAAGACCTTTTTAAAAACTGAAAGATAAACTTACCGCTGGGGTGGACAACTTGCCAAGTTTTATTGTTAAATATTACATTTTTTCGTTGATAGAACCACTTTCACATATCTTCAATTCAATTGTCAGTTCTGAAAGCTAACCAGAAATATGGAAAAGAACAAAAATATGTCCCTTATTCAAATCTGGCGAAAGATCATTCGTATCCAACTACAGGTCAGTGGCTATTTTATGCAATTTTGGAAAACTCTTTGAAAGCATTATTTATGACCAAATATATAACGATATCACAATGATGATAACACCAAATCAGCATGGATTCATGCCCAAAAGATCTAGCGTAACAAACCTGGCGAGTATAACTGAATATATTTCTTGTAATCTCGATTCAACAGAACAAGTTGACGTCATTTATACTGATATAAAAAAGCCTTCGATCAGATTAACCACTTTCTACTTTTGAACAAACTTCAAAGGATCGGATTTTCTATTTCTTTACTATGATTGCTCAAACCTTATGTGTCAGATCCCATTTAGTTCGTCGAATATGGAGAGTACAGTCAAACCATTATATTTTTACTTCAGGGGTGCCCTAGGGGTCTAATCTGGGGCCACTCTTATTCTTAATTTTAGAATATTCCATGAACTATACAGCTCTCGAAGACGGTGACACGTTTAAAGATTTAGGGGTCGTGTTTGATCGAAGACTTACATTTTATACTCGAATAACTCACATCGTTTCGTCGGCTCTGAAGCTATTGGGATATTTCTCCAGAAACTGGGGTGAATTTTCAAATGTTGATACGCTCAAATTATGTCATTTTCATAAGAAGTAAGGTATATAATGCATAGTTAATTTGGTGTCCATTATATCAAAATTCCGTTCAATGATTAGAATCTGTTCAGTGTGCGTGCTTGAAATCCATGTTTTTTAAGTGCAATGGATTCTATTCAGTTAGGGGCACAGACCAGAATATTTTATTAAAGACATTCAACTTAGAAGCCCTAGCAGATAAAAGAAAATGCACCCCAATTATGTTTTTGGTTAAACTTTTGAATAATAAAATTGATTGTAGTGACTTGTTAAGACAAATTCAGTTTCTTGAACCTAGATCACAATTTATTGAAAAAGTCGCCGATATTTATAATGTGTGAGTTATTCATTACGGTGTACGACCTGTGCGATAAACATCATACCAGCAAACAGCTTATTTTGAGAACTATTAAAAAATTCAATGTTATGATTATTTTCTATTATCTTTTTTTGTAATCTGAATCGTTTCATTTATATATACTCTCTAATTATTTGTATTTTTTCTATTTGTGGGTGTGAACATTTTGAGAATTAACATATTATTATTAATACCTGTAGAGCATGCAGCAAGCCATATATTTTCCATGTCTTGGGTCACACTTGACCAATTGATTGGCAGGTTCGAAGCAGGCGTTGGTGATTTCTGAGACAGTCAATTGTTCATGGTATGCCTTTTCTGCTGAAATCACAGGAGCGTATGTTGCTAGAGGAAAATGAATCCTGGGGTAAGGAACCAAGTTCGTTTGGAACTCTGTTAGATCTACGTTCAAAGCACCATCAAATCTTAGGGAGGCAGTGATAGAAGAAACTATCTGAAATTGGAGTAACCTATGTTGAAGTAGTTGTAATGATGATATTTATACAAGTTCTAGTAGCTTTAGTATAGAGTCCAATGCATGAATATTATTAGTTTTTTCATATAAAACATTATTTAATTTAAGGTATGCACTGTTCTAGTTGAACATCCAATAATAACAATTTTGACCTGATCAGGAGCAAAAACTTCACGAAGAAATTCCGTACGATCCCAAGCAGTGAGCAAGCTCATCCCCTAGGAAGGTATTATTTATATTGGATTGTATCGCTACGTCTGTAGAACAACAAATGAGAAACTCGCGTTTTCTGGAGCATGTATTTTTTCCGCACGGTCTTGACCGAGGAACCATCCTGCCTCAAACAAAAGTTGTAGCAGACGTGGAAGGCATCAGTTACGAAGTGTCCTTTGTTGGCCTCTTGGCCGACGTGGTACACGACGGCGAATAGTTTGTACTACTTTTCTTCTGGAGACTGTGTTTTCAACGATACCACTATCAATTTCCAAGAATTGATAGCTTTGCAAACGTCATGGCTGTAATAAAAAAACTTAACAGAGCATTGCTTGCTCCGACTTGGTCATTAGTTTTTGACGAATTCAGCCCCTGTAATTGGTTTTTGGAGTCGAGAACCTCAAGCGCTTGCCTGGCAGACCTAACTTTCTCGATGTTGGCTAGAAGTCTCAGTAATGTGATGTCCGGCACGATATAGGCTCGACTTTAGTTGTCTCCTGAAGATGTCGCTTATCGGTGTTGGTCCTTCTATTTACATATCCATTATTTTTCGATCCTATCACCTTCCACTTATCAGTTGAATCATTGCCTGTAGCAGAGTCAGCAGGAGGATTTCCATCTTTAGTGTAACATTCAACCAACCCCTATAAATCCAACATTTCATCATTGAGACAGTTCAAAAGAAAACCTAGGAACTCTTCCGGATCTTGCTGTCTACTCTCCATCAAGTCTGTCCGCATGCTATGCAATATTTTATAAATCCACGTCGGATCGAAATAGGTGCTCGTGTTAACAATAATTGTTTGGTCTTTCTTGGAATTCATATCCACTCTCTTGCTTTTCGTCCTAATGTTGAAAGGTGAGTAGTCAAACTACCTCACAAAACGGCACATTCCAACTATATCCGGGGTGGACTTCCTTCTCTCTTTCGAAGATATATTTTTGCTCAGGCTATTCAACACAAGTTATAGAGTGATGGACATGCAATCAGGGCTTGCAAAATTGATATGATGTAGCAGAAATGTCTTTGAGCAGACTATTCGGTTGCAAAGTCACTGCCCTACCGTGTATGTAGAAAAAAACTCGCCTATCTGTAACAGTCACAATCTACAAAGTGGTCGAACCTTCTGGAGTACTGGAAAGTACACATGGGTAAACGGAGTTGAAAATCAGTTATTTTGGAGACTGTTCAGCTAGAGGACTACGTTTAATTAAGAATTACCTCCTCCTCTTCTTTCGAAGCTCTACCGTTTTGCTACGGTATTTCACTACACTGCACATCTCTGGTTCTCGCACTGTCTGCAAATATTTGTATTCACTGTTGTTCGGGTAATCATGAACCGCAGGATTCTGTTGCGCAAAAACATGGAATAATAATATAGCAAATGTCATCCCAGAATGGAGAATCCTTGAAAATGTATGCTACAATTCACATTTTGTAATTTTTCGTACCATAGAATTTGACACTTGACAGACTATGAATGGAGATAATCTATTAATGATGACTACTGTTTTCCTACCTGACCAATCAGTCTATTGAGGTTGGTATATGTAGGTCTTTCGATGTCGAGATTTCTTCTACAGATGTCGTAAATGGCTTCATTGTCCACCATAAAGGAGCAATCCGAATGTTCCAAGGTTGTGTGTGTTGTTAGAATAGAGTTGTATGGCTCAACAACTGCAGTAGAAACCTATAGAAATAAAATAGTTGTTAGGTACCTATAGCTTATTGAGAATTATGTTCATTTTTTATCTGACATATACTGTTTGAGGTATTGATTACTTTCCTATGAATTTGAATTGATGGATGTAGCCGTTACTACGTGGTAGGAAATCATAATGAAGAAAAGAGAAATGAAACTTTCTATGTTTTTACCACTTTTATTTGTAACTAACGTTACTGCAGTTTCGTCCTATAGTGACATTTTTAAACTTGTATAAGTTCAAAAATGGACGAAACTGCAGTAACGTTAGTTACAAATGAAAGTGGTGAAAAACATAGAAAGTTTCATTTTTTCTTTTCTTCATTCTAATGAATTTTGTTGAAAATTGTAAAGAAAATTTTATTCATTACTGATTTTTTTATGTGAAGGAGTGACTAGGATAGTCGAATCGAAGTTTAACCATAACTCTCATCTATTTTGTTGATTTTGATTTAGAAAAAGCAATCCAAACGATTTGTCTGAGAAAAGTGAAATTATTTTTTATCAACAGCTGTCCATGTCAATATTTAAACTTTCATAGTCTGTTGGTATTTATTGAATAACTGCAATAAAACTAATTTGAATTTGAATGTTCGATTGATTCGTGTGGTTAATTAATTTCGAAAGGTACTGGGTTATACTGATTTTTCTTTAAATAGTTATATAATTTAAAAAAGTCAACAGTATTTACAATTTTATAAATTTCCAATGACTGATTATCTATTTCCAGGGCCGGATTTGGATGTTTGGAGGCCCTAGAGCTACAAATAAGTGGAGGCACCTAATTAATAATTATTTTTCGGACTTTTTTCACATATTTTATTCCTTCCCAACTCATGGGTACGAATCACAAATTAGTCATTGAAAAAAGTATTGCTACTGAAATGCTCAATCAAATCTATATCAAATCAATTCAAAATTGAAAGTAAATAGAAACTTGAAATCAGGGCTTTCTGATATATTTGTGTGAGTATTAGAGAAAAAAACCAAAAGATATGTTCGGTAGAAAAAATGTGAAAGTTTTTTATCTTCATTATGGAGGCTCCTCTACTGTGGAGGAGAGAGGTCCCATACATTATTAATAAGTGATAGCCATAAACTCAAAATTATGAAGTACACTGAAAAATATAACTATTTGAAGTATTTTACTTTCGACAAGATGATTTTAATTTTTCTCGAAGATAACCATCGAAATTTAATTTATCTAATTGAAAAATAAATAATATACTTTACCTGTGGAGCCGGATAGATGGAAAATTCCAGTTTAGATTTCTTTCCATAGTCAACACTGAGCCTTTCCATCAACAAGCTGGTGAATCCTGAACCAGTTCCTCCTCCGAAAGAATGGAAGACCAAGAATCCCTGGAATTATATCATTTGTGATATTTTTAATGTGCCAACATTCAATATGAAACGCATGAAAGAAATCGTACCAAATAATTCATCAAAAATACCAAAAACTGCTAAAACTATCGGTATATTACCTAAAATCATTTCAAAGGAGAGTAATCTGAAATTCAAATTCAAATTCCGAGGATTATTCCGCGTAAATACAACGTAAAAAACAAAAGTAAGTAGTACTTAAAACAGAAAAGCTATTCTCAAGAAGATTGTGAAGTTCTGAAGAGAAAACTTTTTAATAGAAACGCACAAGTACTGCAGAAAAATCATAGAAACTTTCTGAGGACGTTAGTACTGAGACAGAAAAGGGAAAATTCACAAGAACACAGCCGAAAAAGTACCAAAAGAAGCTATGACGGAAAAAGAAAACGTTTTTACAAAGACTTACAATCACTTTGCAAACACTTGTGTATCACTATTATGCTCAGTTTAGCTATGCAGCATTGTTTTTTTTGCTTTTACTTCATGCTAAAATGATAAAAATAAATCCACAATTCCTCGTTTTTTCGTACTTTTTCAATTATTTCATCCTTATTTTGTAGGCAAACCTTACGTGGTAGATAAAAACAAATGTCATTTTTGAAATCGGCGCAAAAAACTACATAAATATCAGTTAACGAAATTAAAACAATTTTTTTTTAAAGTTTTTTTTGCAGAACTGTGTTATCAGAAACGAGCAGGAGTCCCGGTCTCCTTCTGAAGCCAAACCTGTCGAAAGTGACTAATTATAATATGATTGTCATAATTCCTACCTGCAAACCAGTACATTGGTCCGCCAGCTTCCGTATCCGATCCAGAACGATGTCAACGATTTCCTTGCCGATAGTATAATGACCACGAGCGTAATTATTGGCCGCATCTTCTTTTCCGGTGATCAGTTGTTCCGGGTGGAAGAGTTGTCGGTATGTTCCTGTTCTTACTTCGTCTGTGAACAAAACGCTCTACAACTATTGTGTTATTCCCACTAGTTTATGATATTATAATGAAGTAACCGAGAACACAAGTGATGATATCATGACAGAGAGCACTCAACAGCGTTTTTCCATTATTTAACATGAGTAAAAATCCTAGCGAAGTGTTTGAAACACAACCCAACAACTGTGATTCATTAACACTAGACAACAGACATTTCATTAATAAAATGTAACGTTTCAATTGAGCATTTTAAGCGAGTTCCGGAAAGAATAATGGTTGGTAATCTATTATTCGAAATTATAATTAAGAAATCACTGTATTTACTCCCGTGGAGACAGATAGACAATATATTTCAACAAAATCGATAGACAAATCGTGGCATGTTTCGTTTATTTGCAGTGGTCTGCAGGTTTTTATACCTGACGATTATACAAAGTAACCTTTGCTGTTGCTGCATCGCTTTTGATAATGTCTACCACAGTAGCAGACGAAACGTCAGATATAAAACATGTAGACCACGGGTAATAAACCCGGAAATATTCAACAATTTTTTAGAAACCGGCCGTGGAAGTCTACACACCCTGTCTAACCATTCAAAACAATAGGTTCGGCATGGAACTTGAAACATTTCAAATTAAATCAACTCAAGGAACAATTCAGTCAGGCCGGTCCCAACTCTCTATACTGTAGATTAATGGACTGACACCTATCAAGAAACAACTGCTTCCCTGGCTAATACCACGAAGAGCGTTGGATTATCCCAAATCATCTTATGTGAAAAGCATTTCAAATTGAGAATTGAAGTTTTCAAAACAATAACAGGGCTACTTTGAAACTGAAACTTCAAACATTTACCATACTTCCCACAATAATATTGATTTCCACTGATTCAAAAACTCACTCTTGAAAAACTAATCCAACATCTATTTGTTGAATTGCTCGTAAACTTCTGGCATGGATACGTCTAAGCCAATCCCTAGAATATTCCTTCGAGTGCCTATACCGCAAGGACGAAGGACCGATACCATCATCGTTTCAAATCCATTCTGATCTCAACACCCCAATTCTTCAATTCCACTTAAAATCTTACTGAGACTTGAGAAATTCCTTCCCAAAGCGCCATTTCCAATGGCAAAACAGGAAACAGATAGATAGAAAGAGATATATTTGACAACTTTTCTGTTGAATGCTTATTGAAAGTCAGTTGAAAGATATGAATAAAACTAGTCATAAGTTGAAAGTATAAAATTATAAATTGTATTTAAAAAAAAAACAGATTGAATATTATAATAACTTTTTAAAGAGTGTCAAACAAAAAATTTTATATATAAACAAGAGCTTCAAGATACATTTCAAAACACGGATGAATATTCAAGATGATAATTTTCTATCTGATAAAAAAAATTAAATTCAAATAGGAATAACTGATGTACCTACTTCAATGATCCTGGGTAATATAAAAACAGTTTGTCAGGAGAAAAGTTTGAACGGTTTTGGGAGACGATTGTTATTGACACTCAATCGATAATTACAAAACACAAGCACTACAGGAACATCCTTAAGGCATTCTGAGAGCGTTTCCTGTGCGGAAGTAGCGATTCACATTGAATTTGAATCGCTGGAGTTTGAATCCATTTGGAAAAACGTTCTCAGGGAATGGATTCCACACCACTCTTAGTGGATTCAAATGTGCCAATTCAGTCAAATACTTCCCGTGAAAGTATCTATAGAAGATAGACAAATCCACTTTCTTCGATGCTCCAGACTATCAGAATTGCTAGTGATGTTCGCGTCTCCAATCAAGCGAATGACTCTTTTCTGGATGGAATCCAGCAGCTTCAGGGTATGCTTACGGACAGAGCTCCATACATGAGAACAATACTCCAAAGTATGTCTGATCTGAGCTTTATAAAGCATCAAAAGTTGCTGAGGTGGGTACAGTTTTCTGGTTCGGAACAGTGTTCCAAGCTTTTGAGAAGCAGCCTTAGCAATTCCAGCGACATGATTGTGCCAAGACATATTGGTGTCCATTTTGACCTCCAACAAACTTATCGAAGCCGATAGCATAATTGCCTGTCCTGTCTGCACCCCAATTCGAAATCACTACTAGATCCTCATTAAGATATGCAACTTCCCGCTGTCGGTGAAGATGTCCGTCTGTAACCGATGTCCTGGAATCCAAGTGGAATAACGAGACAAGTGTGCTGTCATCAGCAAAGCAATATTTCGGATCCTTAGTTTTTTTTTCAGTTAGTCGTTGGTATACGATGAAGAGAAGGTTGGAGACAATGTGGATCCCTGGGTAACACCAGCGTCGATCATGAACGTATTCGAGATATATCCATCGACGGGCACTTGCAGGAAACGTTCTTACAGGAAGCTGGAGAGCCATACACAAAAATGATCCGACAAGTCATGGCATCGAAGTTTGGCCAATGAACCCTCATGCCACACACGGTCAAAGGCTTTAGCAATATCAAATGCAACAGCTCTTCATTCTCCATGTTTCTCGATTGCGTTATTTCAAATATGGGTGACATACGATAGAAGGTTATTTGGAAGATTTCTTGTGTCTTTTTTGCGAAAAGGTTGAACGCGAGCAATCTTCCAACAAGAAGGCAAACCCCTTTCTTGTAAGAGAGATTGAAAATTCTGCAAATACTGGTGCGACTTGAACCTGGTAACGACCTGGAAACATAATTTGGACACAAACAACTCTCCAATAAGGCTGTTCATGCATCGTTATCCACTTTTCATGAGATACAATTTCTCAGAGGTCAGTAAATCGCTTCTGTGCTCATCAGCCACATTCTCGTGGACCTCAAAGATAGTATCCAGAGAAACAATAGAAAAAGCATTCAGTCAAACTCCAGATTCCTTCAGAATTTATGTGAGAGACTAGATTATTAATGAGTATTTCACAATGTTTTAAAATATTCCAGTGAGATTCAAAATATTGTGGAAGGCTTTCCAATACTCTCGAATGTTCGCTCTGGAGAGCTACACTTTCAGACCTGATATCTTCAAAAGTACATCCTTCAGGTGAAAACTGAAAACTAACTTCTTTCGTTCCTCTCAAAACACACAGAGGTAATGAAAGTGAAGTTGGTAGGAACACACCAATATTGAGAAACCTCACCAATTTTATTATTTGCTAGTGTTGATGAGTACTATATCCGTCCATCGTGATTTTGCAAAACAAACTGAATAAACGACTACTAAGTTGACAGATGTAGTTTCAACAAGATAGTCGTTATCAATTGTCAAAGTTTGGGAGTCCTTGCTGGAAAACCCTATATATTGATGTTTGGACTCTCAAACGAAGTAAAAAAACACCTATATAAAAACAACGTCAATTACATAATGATTACACCTTCATTTTGTTCAATTTAATGTAGTTGTGACATGCGATGTCACGTTTGAGTTACAAGCCATGTAAAATGCGTAATCTCTTATCTTCGAAGAAAACACGATCAGGTTTTCCCAAACATGGGAAATAATATGAATGTTACACACATCACTACCTTTATGTAGAATTCCAGCAAATTGATTTTTTTTCACGAATATCACAAATATACGAGACACCCCGAAGCAGCCAGTAGCAAAGTGAAGCATCGACATCGATCACCGAAGGAGATTTGTCCTCTGTCTTTCACTGCAGAGCATGTTGCTGAAATCAAATGTTAAAGACAAAGTTCTCTTGGTCCAACACCAAACGTTTTCGACCCGCGATAGGTTCATCAGTCCTGAAATCATAACCTTTCTTTGGCTTCAACCTAATTAGGTACAAGGTACCGTAATTTGTGGTGAATTCGATATGCGCGACATCTGAAACATATGAAAAAAATAATTTAGCTTCTTCTAACCTGTAAAGAAAGCGCGTTTGAAATATATATATGGAAAATTTTTTTTGTTACTGACAATTGTTCGAATTCACCCCCATGGGTGAGGTCAATTTGAACAGGGCTCTATTATACATGAAAATTCGAATTTTACTTGAATTTTGTACTCTATACATTGATCCTGTTCAGCTTATTATTTGTCTGCCAAAAAAGTGTATTCAGAATACTCTTTAGTATGAAAGCCAGGGACTCCTGTAGGGGAATTTTTAAAATGAACAGATTATTAACAGCGATATACATTTTTGAGTCATTAACATTTTTAATAAATCAACCAAGCTACTTTGAAAAGCATCATAAAACACATCAGTATGGAACCAGATTTAGGAATGATTTTTTATATCCTATACATAAGAAATCTCTGTATGAAAGAAGTACTGGTTACAGTGCGATTATATTTTTAAGTCTCTCCCACAGGATCGTCAGCAGTTTTCTGAAGGCTGTGAGAGAATTTTTATGCAATCTAGAGCCTCATATTATAAATGAATATTTTAATAGTCTATTTTGAATTTTATTTTATTAACGCTATACTTATATATGCATGTGAAGTGTTTTATTCAAATTTTGTATCTTATTACCCTCTGTGATTTTGTTTACTGGCGTATATCTCGGACAAACTATTTCTTTCATTTTTTATACAAGATATACATTGCTCTGTAGAAACTAATGAATATCTTTTGTTTGAAGGAATAGCAGAGCATGTTTGGACTCATCAACATAACATGAAGTGCGTTCAAGCTGAAATCATCCACATGGAGAAACACTGGTTTAGGAGAAAATTTAAAAAAGCCGCGTATACGTTGTCCAACAACGCATTGAGTCAAGCTAGCTTAGTGATACGTAACATATGGAAACCTCTAATCAAGCGGGAAACGACCAATGCCCGCCAAATGGTCATCTCCCGCTAAATGCAATGAAGTTGAGAGAGGGAAGAGGGGATAGGTGAAAGCACTTGAATGACCAATAAATAGTCAGATCTCGGATAAATAAGTCCAGTTATCACCCGAAGACGATTGTGGATTGTTCAATAAAATTGTTATTTTTGTGTCAATCTTTTTAATTTCTTTCAGGAATTCCAAATCAATTTATATTATATTAGACAATAGGAGTC